AAATAGTGAGAGAGAGAAAAAAAAGTGTTCTTTCCTACATTTGTTTATACTAAATTAATGACATTATATTTAATACGTTTAAGTTAATATTGTATTTTCAATATGAGTATAAGATAACAAAATATGCTATTTTTATTAATAAAATGCAAATTTACTATACAGCATTTGTTATTATGTTATTTGCCCTTAAGATAAACCGCATCATGGTGTAGTTTAACAAATGAAAACACAGGAAATCTATGTGTGGCCCAAGGGGACTTGTAGGGAAGACCACAAGAAGTCAACCAAACAATTTGATTTCCTTCTGTTATAAGAGATTTTGAGGGAAATAAGTTGACTACGCCACTTAGGGCCTATAACCCCAGGAACTCAAAAGCATGAAATTTTCTCTAAAGGTCACACAGGTTTGTTATCGAACAAAGGAATGGTCAGAGACATGAGTTCCCCCAAAAAACACTGTTATTCAATCAATAAATTACTAGAAAACTCCAATAAAACACTTGTTCCATCAATAAAGCATCCTATTTGACACACTTATACCACTGCACACACACACACACACACACACACACACAAATTACAAATAATAAGACATATAAAAAAAACAATTTAATACAAATTCAATGCAGAGCTGAGGGACATCTACTCCAGGCAACCCTGCCAAAAATGGTCAAAACACCAAAAGACTGAACCCCACACTTTCAAGACAAATTAACACTTTTCCTAATAGAAAAAAACACCAATCAGAAAAAGCGAAAAACACACAAAATCCAGCACAAATAATTCCAAAGAAAAACAAATACACTAGTACAAAATTAACAAAAACAAAATACAAAACAGTTTGTCCAAAATTAAACAAACAAACCAATTCGAGATGGAAATGAGACCGCATTCGTTTCAGGATAATTAAAAACAAAACAAACACATTGATGATGAAACTATGGAATGGGAAAAAAAATTCTGAATTAGTGGGATAAGTCAAACACATTGATTGTAGAAGCAACAGGACGAAACAACAGCACTGCCCAGACCACAGTGGACACATTAGATTCGCAATAGAAACGACTGCATGTTAATTTTACTGCAATTAAATGTAAATGAAAAATGTCTTACCTCACAACATGACAAAAAGGAGCTACCCATACTAGGGCTGCAACAAATGATTATTTTGATAATCGATTAATCTAGCGATTATTAAAATGGTTAATCGACTAATTGTCGATTATCCCACTGATTAATCAGTAGACTTTGATTGATTATTCAGCTTTTGCAATTAGTTAAAATATTGAACTATACATTCTAACAAATACATAAAGGTAATCACTTCAGTTTTTGAAAATCATATTATGTAATTACAATTATTATACAGTTAATTTATAATATATATACATATATATATATATATATATATATATATATACAGTATATGTATGTTACGAGGCGAACAAGACGTGAGACGTGCGGATCCAAGTGCAAGGCTTTATTTACAAAGCCTTGTAAATAAAGGCTCAAATTTTTGACAAGTTGGGGGTTTAGATTTTTTACTTTTTTTTTAGGTGTAATTTGGATGTTAACAAGGTTCAGAAGCTTTCTTTTTTTCATAAACAGGTTTGTTTATTATGGATGCTCATTTTTAAGCATAACTTTTCTCCACGTAACTCCAGTCATTTTTGAGGTTTTAATGTGCACTTTTTTATCCATCTTTCGCGAAGAATGGAGCTGCGTTGGAGTGTTTGATAGTATTTTGGGTGCTGTTATATCGCTACACCATACAATTTGTAGAAAGAAAAGGCTGAAAAGGTTTTGAGGTTAATGTGTTACAAATAAATCAAGCATAAAGCTTGAGATACTATTTTAACCTGGTGAAATGTAAATGTCACAGGGCACGAAACTATATTCATTTCTTTTCTTTTTTTTAATCCATCTGGACCATAGAACGGGACTCTCAAAGCCTTGACATCCGGGTATCCAGTAGATAAGTCGGTAAATTCGAGCAAAATCACAGGCTTCGCTTATCCCGTGCAAATGCACCACACGAAATTCAGAGGTGGGGGGTTAATTTCAAAATCTCACAAGGTCCCCAGATAATACTAATCCCGTGCGAATAGGGCTTATGACTATGAAAACTAGAGCAGGCTCCGTAAAGTAGCTATCACAGCAATAAACGCTAATCAATACTCGGCGACTTGAGCAGGATCTGTGTGGGTGTTATATAGTGAATGTGTGATTGGTTACAGCTGTGTGCAATCTGCAATATAACAAAGAGTGAAAAATTTAAGGGGGTCTGAATACTTTCCGTAACCACTGTATATATATATATATATATATATATATATATACTGTATATAGCACACAAAATGAGATGACAGAGAAACTCTCATTCACCATTTAATTAGCTATGTGAAAAAGTAACTGAATGACGTCATTCTGCCTGACATCTCCTTTTGTAAGCCATATGGATAAAAAAAGCTATTGATTGCCTTAATATTTTATCATCTGTATCTGGTTTATGATTGAATATTAAAAAAATGTGTGTTATTCCCTTTAAAAAGATGTAATTATAATAACATACTAGGTATTCCAGTAAAGGAGATGGTAGGTTATTTATTAAGATCTGTAAAGATCAAAAGGAGAGAAATAATTTGAATTTTACACCAATTATTAAGAACATTAAACAAACATTAAATTCATGGTTAATGAGAGACCTGGCATTAAAAGGAAGGATATTATTATCTAAAACTGAAGAGTTGTCACGTTTAGTGTATACGGCTCTTGCATTAGACGTTCCACATTCAGTCATAAAAGAGGTGGATAATTTTTTGTTCAATTTCATCTGGAAGAACAGACCACATTATTTTAAAAAGACCGTTTTGTGCAGTCCAATTGAAGATGGTGGTCTTAATGTACTTGACTTTAGTACTGCTAACTCTGTATTTAAAAACAAATGGATTAAGAACTACCTGAAATCTAAAGGCAAAATTTGGAATATTATCCCTGAGTTAATTTTTGACAAGTTGGGGGTTTAGATTTTTATTTTAATTTTTATTTTTTTGAGGTTAAATTTTGATGTTAACAAGGTTCCGAAGCTTTCTTTTTTTCATAAACAGGTTTGTTTATTATGGATGCTCATTTTTAAGGATAACTTTTCTCCACGTAACTCACAAATATATTGGAACAACAAATATATTACGTTTAAAAATAAGTTCTTATTTTACAGAAACTGGTACAATAATGGTATAATCTTGGTGAGAAAGCTATTCAAGAATAATGGACTTCTCTTTAATTATTGTGAATTCCTTAATTATTATAGGATCCCTAATTGCTAAAGAGTTTGCCGTAGTATTTGATGCCATTCCTAGTGGCCTTATTCAGCTTTTGTCTGACAATATATCTTCACACTATTGCCTAAATGCAAATCTTTTTGGAATTCGTCATCTGATCAGATTGAATGGAAAGAGGTCTGGGATTTACCAAGTCAATACTGTTTTTAGAGACATGGAGACTACATGCATCTTTTGAAACTAGAGGAAGAATCCATAAAACACTTATTTTATGATTGTGTATTTACCCAGATGTTTGGATTGATATTGAATATGTTATATTTAAATGTATAAAATTAAAAGATTCGATTCTCTGTTAAAGATATATTTTTGTTGTATAAAAATAAGAGTTTGGAGCAAAATTTGGTGATTAATATAATAATTATGTATGGGAAATCATATACACAAACAAAAATGGACTAATAATAAACCTAACATTACATTATTTAAAATTTAACTTGAGCATTACATTGAAGCCTTAAAATATCTAAGAAATAAAAAAGCAAAAAATAATGTATAGAATTTTTGAATCCTTTTCTTATGAACATTTCTTTTAAGTTATCCCCTGTAGTTATTTTTTCTCCTTTATTTTTTTCTGTTTGTTCCTTTGATGCTATTATAAATGTAATTGATAATAGTTGAAAATACTGTAATTCTCTATGTGTGTTATGTTACTGTTTTTGTTATGCAATAAAAAAAGTCATATGGATAAGAAACAAATTAAAGGTAAGTGATAAGACGCTTTATTTTTGGATGAACTATTTTATTCACAACATAATCTCTCTTATAATCAAAACAGTCTAGATCAAGCTTTGATCTCTGCAAACCAAACTATCACTTTAATTAAGTAGCCTAATATTTTCCCCTACTAATAAAAAGATTTTATCATTAGCTAGCTCCACACTGGAGAGCTGCTTTATAACAGAAAATCAAGTTGTAATTCTAACTGAAACTGACACTGGTTTTTCAGGTTGACTAATCGTTTCAGCCCATAGACTGTAAAAAATATGGATGACGCGTGTCCACTATAGAAAAAGTAAGTAAAGCCAAAACATTCTCAGTATGGCCGCTGTCATATGGAGCCTGAGTCTGCGCAGTAGTAACCGGGAGGTGCAGCTGCGGTATCAAAGGGTTAAAGAAAAAGCTGAGCATGTCATATCACACTGTATATCAGGGGTGCCCAGTCCTGCTCCTGGAGATCTACCGTCCTGCAAAGTTCAGCTCCAGCCCTGATCAAACACACAGAACCAGCTAATTAATCTCTTCAGGAGCACTTGGTAATTACAGACAGCTGTGTTGGAGCAGAGCTAGAACTGAAGTCTGCAGGTAGGTAGATCTCATAGATCTCCGGGAACAGGATTGGGCACCCCTGCTGTATATATGGTGGACAGACGGGTGTTTCAAGATAAGGTTCAGGAGGCAAGACGGGAGTGGGATTTGATGGGGATACTGGGAACAGAAGAAGAGGGAGAGAGGGCTAGCATAACCAGGGCACTAGTTAAATTCCTTAATGACAAAGGGTATATGCAGAATATGATAACACTTAAAATGACATGTTACACACTATTGTACAGCAGGTGGCGGGATGCACCTAAAAGTTTGCATTCAAACTTATTAATCAAAAGAAGAAGAAGAAGAAGAAGAATGAAAGAAAGCTTGTGTAATTATGGAATATTATTAGTTTCCAACGTTCATGATAATAGTATAGGCCTTTAAGTAATAAGCCGTTTAGAAGTTGTCTCCGTTTGGCTGTAAATGTGTGTCTGTGGAACACCGAAAACTAAACAAGTCAACCCTGCTTTGAGCCTTAAAATAAAGGAAGTAGTAGAAGAGGAGGCGTGTCCACAAACTATAGTTTCGATATGTACAGTACGCAATGTCACAAATTAACATTCGAAACAAGCCCTGATTCACATCGAGAAGAACTAAGGTTGCTGATGGTTTACGTTAACTTACAGAGAGGTAAGAAAAAGATCGTATGGACCTTGACTTGTAGATCTCTTCTCTACCATGAAGATCTAAGACTACGTACTGTGCACACGAAAAAAAATGTGTCTCGCAGAATAAGCTTGTTGTGGTTTTAATTTTCTTTTATTGGAATGATTGGTTAAAAAATAAATCAGTGATCAAAGCAGATCAAAAATTAAAGAATGAGTTTGTAATGCATTGTTTTTTTGGTATGGATTTTTGTCACCCCTATTCCTCTTTAACCAAAAAGACTTATTCATTGATTTCTTCAATGGTCCTTTTCTACAGGTTACAATATAGGCGGCGATCTTTAATGAATCCGTGATTTATTAACTTAATTCTTCGTTCTCCCGTTTCTTGTGAACGAGATCGACTATGCCGAAGAAAAAAACGAAGTACGACTCGCGTTCCCCATCTCCAGCTGTGTGTTTGGACAGGGTGTGGTAAAGTTGGGCTTATTTTGGACAGTCGTTCGATCTTTTCTTCAGGATTGATTTATATGTAATCACATAATAGTCATGGCTCATGCTGTATCTCGTTCGGATCTCATTTTTAAAGCATAATATGAGGATTAATAATGATGATAAATGTTTTAAGCATCAGAGTCCTCACAATTTGTGCACGTCAAGTTAGGAAGTGTCTCAAAAGTACAAAATCCACAATAAACTTGGTTAAATATGTGCATTATTCCATAAAACACTAAAAACGTGATCCTTTTACATGGTAGTTTAGCAAATAGATTAAAGGGATAGTTCACCCAAAAATGAAAATTCTGTCATTAATTACCCTCATGTTGTTCTAAACCCGTAAGACCTCCGTTCATCTTTGGAACACAAATTAAGATATTTTTGATGGAATCTAAGAGCTCTCTGATCCTCCCATAGACAGCAACCCAGATAGCACATGTACGTCTGCAATATGTCTGTTAAAGATCTCTTGATCTGGAAAGCATCTGCTTTGGACAAACATCTGACAGACGTCTTTCAGATGTCAGTTTTACATACATTCTAAATCATAAACATCTTAAAGACATCTAATAGACGTCTATTTGAAATTCCTGTTAGTCCAAAAGACTTTGAACCTGGGTCTCCAGAAGCCAACAGGCCTCAAATGTCCTAAACTAGTGCATAGTCCACTGTACCATTAATTCCTACAACCATTAAATCAGCTTGTGTCTAAGGACATTTTCAAATTTGATTTGTCTGTTAATATTCATTCAATAATTCAAAAGTTTGTGTGAGGAAACATAAGTTTAAGGACCCTACATTCATGCCCACATCAGGTGAAATGTTGCTCAACATGTATAAACTTCATGAGATTTTAAAATACTAAAACCCATTGACAACTATCAATAAAGGGAAAGCTCCATTATACATTAATGGTACAACATCTATTTTTCGATTATTCATATCCAAGGCTGATGGTTTGGCATTTTTGCAGATATATTACAGGCAAAGTGACATCATTACCATCATGACCATTCAAATATAATTGATTTGATTTTTATACACACACACATACACACACACATATACATTATATATATAT